TTGGGGTTCTTGAGCTTCTCCCAGTCGGCGGCCACCATGTAGTTGTACGGGCGCAGCAAGGTCTGCAACTGAGCCCTTCGGGGGTTCAAGAATTAGAATTGTTTTAGCCCTTCTCCCCACTGCCCCCCATCCTCCTTCATCGTCATCCTCCATGTCTGGAATCATCCCTCCTCCATATTCTCTTGCCGGCGCGACCTCCTCCCCGAGCTCGCGGCGTCAGGGTCGTCAGAGGTCTTCTCCACGAGTACAGTCTGCATCTCATTGATGTGGGCCTCCGAGAACTGCCTGGCACCCAACATCTGCAGAATCTTGCTGGACTGGGCCACTGGAATAATTTGGCTGCGGAGAAGCCTGATAATATCATTCTTGCGCGTCTCGCAAGCACTCAGGAAAGCAGGCGACTCGGCGTCCATCGTCCTGGACAGGCACTTCACAAACTCGATGTGCTGCTGGATCGAATCGACGATGTGTCGAGCCATGCTGCGCCTAAATACAAGCGGGCCGAGCCTCGCTGATGTTTCCGCCTGCTCGCGAGCGGGCAGCTCGAGGTGAAAAAATGAAGATGGGCGTGGATGGCAATGGTAGAGCTGGCGTTCAAAGTATATATATAGAGAGATGATGATGATGATGATGATGATGATGATGATGATGATGAGGATGAGGATGAGGATGATGATGATGATGATGATGATGATGATGACACGCTCATAAAAGCGGAGAGAGAGAGAGAGAGGGCAGGAGAGAGGAGGTGATGGAGGGAGGAATGAGAGGAGAGGGAGAGGGAATGATAAAATGGAGGAGGAAGACAAAGTGGAGGAGGAGGAAGAGGACGAGGAGGAGGAGAAATAATACCTATAATGAAGACCACTGGGGAGGAGGAGCAGATTAAACCTACGATGCATCACTGATGCTGCAATGCACCTTCAACCAATGCCCCTACATATTTGAGCTCGCTGCAGGCTTTGAAACTTTGGGCCGTCAATGTTAATGCAGTCTCAGACGAGGAGTCCAGGCGAGAGCCCCATTTTTGATGCCAGAATTTGATGCTGAACGTTGTTGCTGACAGTTGCGTTGTCATTGTGTATATACAAACCTACCTAGCAAAATCGAGCCTGGGCGAGCCTCGGCTGAACTGTCCCTTCACTCAGATCTAATCCCACGAGTTGGTGAACCAGCTAGAATAGTCCTCCTGCGTCTTCGCCTGCTTGCCGGCGGTCGCGTTCTGGCCCGCCGGGCGCTTGATGCACACTCTGGCCTTGGGTTTCCCCTTGGCCTTGGCTTTCCCCTTGGCCGCGCTCGCAGGCGCAGCGGCTGGCATCTTGACGGGGCTCTTGGCAGGGCTCTGGGTCGCAGCCTTCTGGGCGGCACTCTTGGCAGGGCCCTGGGTCGCAGCCTTCTGGGCGGCACTCTTGGCAGGGCGCTGGGCCGCGGACTGCTTCCCAGGGCCGTGGCCGGGGCTCACGACCGCGAACTGGTTCTCAGGGCTCTTCGGGCTCATGGCCGCGCTCTGCTCCGGAGGGATCCTGGCGGGGCTCGCGGCCGCGGGCGGCTTCTCAGGGCTCCTGGCGGGGCTCATGGCCGCGGACTGCTTCTCAGGGCTCGTTGCGGGGATCATGGCCGCTGGCTTCTTGGTGGGGCTCTTGGGGATCATGGCCGCTGGCTTCTTGGTGGGGCTCTGGTCCGTCGACTGCATCTCCTGGCCCTTTGTCTGGCTCTTGGTAGGGCTCCCAGCGTGGCTCTTGGTAGGGCTCCCAGCCTGGCTCTTGGCAGGGCTCCCAGCCTGGCTCTTGGCAGGGCTCTTAGCTGGGCTCCCTGGTGGGGTCCTCATCGCGGCCCTGATGGAGTCGTCGCCGAGCATGCGCCTGATGGTTTCGATCTTGGCATGTGCGAGCGCGATAGTTGAACGGTCGTCTTTCGGAGGCCACGTCTCCAGGTCCACAGCACTCTGGATTGCTGAGATCATCGGCGCCACTGCAGCTGCTGCCAGGCTAACAGGATAAGCGTTGCCCGTGGCCTGGAGCGACACCGCGTCGGTGTCGAAGAAATCGTGAAGATCGGGCTCGAATCCTACGGGGGCCACATGCGTTCGGTAAAGGGGGAGGGCGGGAGAGGTCCCAGGGAGGATGGGGGGAGGGAGGAGGAAGGAGGGGGGAGGGAGGAGGAAGGACGATGGGGGGAGGGAGGTATGAGGGAGGAGGGGGGGAGGAGGGGGAGAAGGGGTATGCGCGACGAGGGCGATCAGAGGAAGGCCAGGAGGGAATAGAAGGAGGGCGGTGGCAGGAGGAGCTCAAAGATCGGCGAGGAGGGGAAGGAGTGGAGAAGGGGCAGAAAGGGGGAAGGGGGAGGAAGGAGGAGGAAGGAGGAGGGGAGCGGTGAAGGGGGCAAAGTGGAAGTGAGGGGGAACGGAGGGACGGAAGGCAGAAGGTGGATGGGGCAGGGGGGTGAACTGAACATCATGTTATGGCCCTCGTTCCATATGTGTAGGGTCGCTGCTTCGCGATTATCCGACAGCCCCATTACTATTATGTTTTTCTATGTAACCACGCTGTCCTTGCAGGGCGAACCTCTCCTTGGGGTGAAGGTACCTGGACAGGCTCCTCTGGCTGACTGGCTTCTCGAGGTCACTGATGGCCAACACCCACAGATATCGGTTACCAGTTAGGAGCGTAGGGACCACGTCCTTGAGATAATACGTTTTGAAGGCTACATTATCCGCTTTGCGATCGATTGAGAAACAAACGATGCTGTCCTCGGTCACCTTCCCTTCTTTGAAATCAGTTTTGAGTTTCTTTTCCATGTCTTTCAGGTTCTTCTGTAGCTGAGGCGTCAACGTCTTGACGTCGGTGTTGGGGAGGCACATGTTCAGGAAGTCCTTCAGGGGGCGGGGGCCCAGGGGGGGCATGGCTGATGGGATTGTCGCTCTGTCAGGGCAGCACGTCTTCCGGAGGCCGCGCAGAAATACCCTGGTCCTGTTTTGTGCCAGCATGTAATCAGATGCTTTCAACGTGATGATGTCGAAAGCGAAGTCGGGGAGAACGGCTTCCAAGGCTGATTTCACCCGCTCCATGAAAGATCCCTGCCCTGAGCGATTGATATTGCACCCTTCAACGTTCTCCAGGAAGAACGCCAATAGGCCGAAACAAGCAAGCCAGACGACCCACTCGACGACCATCCTGAATACGTCAGCACGGGAATCGAGAGCACCTCGGCCGCCGATCAAGTTCGATGCTTCTCCCATGGGGTGAGAACCAGGCAGCATCCTGTGTGTAAAAAAGCAATGCGCGGAAGGGATGCCAGATATCTTCTTCACGTCGTCAGGGGAGAGGGGAGATTATCTCTGGGGCATGGGGCAATGGGCGGGTCGAGTTTGGGGCGTTGCCAGCTTGGTTCGTCACCCCCTGAGTAGGCGCACCCAATCTTGAACGCCGGACCTTCGCCCGTGCCAATGAGCGACCACCCCGGACAGGGCGGCCCAGCGCCCAACATATGGACTGGTAGAAGCAAGTCCTGGGCGGGCATCTGGAGGACGTCGCCCTCGCTCTTGCCGACCTTGCAAGAGTCGCCGAAGATGGCTTTCAGGTACTTAGAGTATCGATCCTCGATGTCGCAGACATTCGCCCCCTCGACTTTGATGTTCATGTCACGGAGGCTCCACCCGAAACCATCTAGCCCGCAACATGGCATGGCCACGGGAAGTGGCTTCTGAAGATCGAATTGGGGTAGGATTGCGTTCCACTGGTTTGGCTGAGGGAAAGTTTTCGAGGGGTCAGTCATACTTCGGGGGTCTGATCCTCCCACGGTTTCGCTGTGTTCGCTTTGTGCCAAAACAATTAGCTATAAATCGGGAGGTGCTCCACGGCCCCTCTCCGTCCACCCTCCCCGGCGTCTTCTCGTTCTCCTGGCGTCAGGTACGTTTGCTTGGGCCATGTTGCGTCAGGTACGTTTGCTTAGGCCATGTTGCGTCGGGTACGTTTGCTTGGGCCATGTTGCGTCGGGTACGTTTGCTTGGGCCATGTTGCGTCGTGGCTTCCTCCTCCGCCTCCTGGCCTTCTTATGCGCCTCCAGCCTCCTCCTTTCCCTCCTCTTCCCCTTCTCCTCCATCCACGGTCCCCCGAGAATGTCAGCGCTCATGGCCAGCGGAGCTTACGTGCTGGCCTCCCTGAGGAGGCGGCGGAAGGGAGCAAGGAGAAGGGGGAGGGAGGATGAGGATGGATGTGGGGGAGGGGGATGGGGAAAGAAAACTCATGAGGGGAGCGAGGGAGAGAGGGGGGAGGATGGGGGAGGGAGGATGGAGGGGCGAGGGATGGGGAGGATGATGAGGGAGAAGGAGGGAACATGAGGGTGATGAAGCTGCGGGTCAGCGGTCATGAACGTTTCCGAGAGCGTTCCAAGAGCACCTCGGGAGCATGCAACGGGCGTGTCACGGGCGAGTCACTCGCATGTCACGGGCATGTCAATGGCATGTCACCGCGTGTCACCCGCGTGTGACATGCGTGTGACACGCATGTGACATGCGAGTGACATGCATGTCACCGCGTGTCACCTGCGTGTCAACGGTGTCGGCTACTCAGAGGCATCCCGGAGAGTAAGGGAGATGATGAGCGCAGGGAAGGGGATGAAGACTGCGGATGCCCAGGCAAATATAGGAGGATGTGAGGAGGACGGAGCGTGGAGGCATGGGGGGTGAGTTCGAAATGAGAGCGAAGAGAGAGATACATGGAGCTGCACATGTAGGGTGTGAGACGCGGCCGGAGGTGAAGTATAAAAGACAGCAGAGAGGTGGGAGAGAGTGAGTCTGAGCAGGGTGGAGGGGGCATGGCCCCTGGGAGGGGGGCTGGAGAAGAGGACCTGCTGTGGGGGGGAGGGAGGAGTGGAGGGTGGAAGGATTGAGGAAGCATGTATTCTTCAGCGCTAGACGTATCCCATAGCGTGGCCTTTCCCAGGCCGCGAATGTCATGAGTGCGCGAGAGCGCCGGTGACAGCCCAGGGTATATTGCATACCAAGCACCAGCAGTAAGACGCGCGTGCGGGAAGCAAGTCAGACGGGCGAGCCTCGTCTGAGCTACAGATCTAGCCTCTCGCCTGAACTAGGCGGACACCTCCTCGATCTGCGACATGGCCTCGGAGATCTGCCCGTCGATGCGCTCCGAGGCGTTGTTGGCCGACAGCTGCTTCTGCTTCAGGAGCCCCATCAGGTTCTCGAAGTCGCCGCACCCCTTGAGCAACGCCAGGCCGACCTGCTCCTCGACCTGCTTGATCTCCTCGATGATCTTCGTCGCGCCCGGCGCCGAAATGGCAGGAATGTACTCCTTCAGCTCTGGCTTCGCGGCGTTGTCCCTGGCATCGTTGAGCTTGTAGCGGGCAGCCTGCGCTTTCGTCAAGAACGTCTCGAGCCTTTTCTTCTGGCCAGTTTTGAGCTTGGCGCCCTCCTCCTCCTCGGCGTCCTCCGCCTCCCCTTCGCCCTCGGTCCTCGGCTTCTTGCTGACTGGCCTGTGGGCGAACTCAACGTTGCGCTTCTGCACGCGCGTGTGCTCCTCCTCGTCCATGAGCACCGACTGGAATTCGAGGTCTTCCCAGATCTTACACTGGCGCGTCGGGTGGGTCAGGGTCCGGCCGTGCTTGAGCACCGCGGCCAGTTGCTCTGGTTTGTTCTTGTATTTGTCCTCCAAGTCCTGCTGGTCCAGCCACGTCCCAGTTCCCTTAAACTGCGAGAGGCTCGTCATCCTCTTGGTATCCTGGATCAACTCTTGCATCCTTACGAGCAGGTCGTCGCCCGCCAACTGGCAATGGTCCTTGTAGAACGATTTCTTCTTCTCGTCAGGCACCGCGGTCCAATCCTGGACCAACCTGCCGTGGTTGTTTACCAGGCGATCGCAACGGGCTTTGCAGTTGTGGCAGTCCTTGCACCGATACACCGGCTGGGGATTCTTCCTGTTCGCCCTCCTGACGACGACGCAATCAATGGACTTCTTGCCCTTGGTGTGGCAGGTGCAGCACTCGACATCCTCATCCGCATGCCCCTGGCCCGCGACCCTCACCTCTGCCGCGCCCTCCACGACCCCCTCTGCCGAAGAAGATGGCTCGGTGGCGAGATATTCCTGGGGGGACTGGGCCAGGTCAGCAGAGGCAAGCGGGGCGTGGAGCGGCATGGCTGCCTAGCGCTATGAGCGATGTGGGGTGTTGCAGATCGCCTCAGGTCTCAGGGGTGTCGAGCCTCCTGTTCTAAAGCCAAATAGGCAGCGGTGGGTGCAAGATGATGCGGAGGGAAGGGAGGAGGCGGATGAGAAGGGGGAGGAAGGTAGTGCGGATACGGAGGAGGTGCAAGGGATAAGGGGCGATGTTGGCGAGGGCGAGGAGAGGAGCTTGCGAACTCTTTAGCTGACGCAATGCACTTTCCCTCGACATCTTATGATTTGTTCGATTCGATCGTTCGTCGTCGTTTCGGTTTGTTTGCATGTAGAATTTTCTTGCGTTTGATGTCGCCCCCCCCCCCTCGTGCCTCCGGCCCTGGCGGGGCTCGCCAATGCCGACGAGATCAAGGACATTCTGGCCGCTCGGGGTTGGGGAGCGCGGGCATTGAAGTCAACAGGGCAGAGGCGTGAGCAGGGCAAATGAGGGATGGGGGGAGGAGGGGGAGGAGCGAATGCAGAAGGATCAGGAGGAGGGGGAGGAGGAGGGGGATAAACAGGATGGTGGCCTGGAGGACCATCAAGAGTATGATTTTGCACGCCCGCGCCCACGGGCTCTCGATCCTAAGTTAGATGCGCGATTTGCGAGCCCCTACGGGCTCCCATCCCGAAGTTAAACCCACGATGAGTTTACACCTTTTGAGTGAGGCGAGCCTTCACTCATTATTGATTACCCTAGACGCGGGAAGATAGGCAGGACGCCGCCCTGCGACTTCACGTAGGGCAGCACGCGCTGCACGTTGTCGATAGGCTCCAGAACATCTCCGTAGCCGGACGCACTCCACGAAGGATTGTCTGGGTTGGGCTGGATGTAAACGCCCATCTGCACGAAATGCTTCTTCTCTCCGTTCATCATCTCCACCTCCATGAAGAACTTCACGCAGCCGACGTTCATGGTGGTCTGGATCAGGTCCCGAGCCATGATGTAACCGACCCCGCAGTGCACCTTTTCTGACACGTAGACCATGTGCAGGTTGACGAAGACGTTGCGGAAGCTGTCGGGCACGACCCAAGGCCTGCGCGGCATGAGGTAGGTCTGCTGGAGCGTCTCCCTGCGGTCGACTATGTTCGCGTAGCAGTCGTTCAGCAGCTTGGCCAGGATGTGCGACTCCATCTGGTTGAAGACGTGCGAGCCGATACCTTTTACCAAGCGGTGCCGGCGTTCGGGGCCGAAGCAGCTCAGGTTTGAGTTGTCCCTCTCGATCTGGTCGGGCACGTGCCACAGAAAGTGCAACTTCGGCTTGACGCACTCGGGGTTCAGGCGAGTGAACAATTTGAAGTGTATCACGATGGCCGCTCTGAGCTCGTTCACCTTGCCTACAGCTTTGCTGTCCAAGTTCAGAATGCAGACGATCTTTCGCATGGCCTTCAAACACATGCATTGCTCCACCATCGCGATCTGTGGCTCCAAGACCATGTCTGCGAAGAGCTCGAGCACGGCGAGCACGCTGGACATCTCCGAAGCAAAGCATCTAAGGTGCCCCCCAACGTCGTCAACGAATCGGTCCTTGAAGAACTTCTTCGTCAAAGGCTTCGGGCACGTCTTTGGCCAGATGATGGTGCCATTGAAGCGGTCAAGGTCGTCAAGTGAGATGTTGTGCGCGTGCTTCAACTCGTAGATGAACTTGTTCGCTGTGTATTGGGCCACGCCGCCGCTCGCCATGAGGACGTGCATCCAGTCCCACCGAGTCCCAGTAATAGGCTTAATGACGTCGTTCGTGAACTCAGGGTCCCAGAGCAGAGTGCCAGGCTCGAAATTGATCCCAAGATATTTCTGCATCTCGTCGGCGGCCTTCCGAGTAGGAACTGAGTCAAGGAAGTTCTTCAGATAGGTGGTCATGTCCATGAAGGACTGGTCGTCGTGCAAATCAAAGTCGCAAGGCTTTGCCGTCCTGAAGCTCTTGATGTAGTCGTGACCTTCAAATCCCCGGCTGACGATGTTCTTGCAGCAGAAACATGGTTTGGTGCCAGCTGCTCCCTTCAGGGACCAGATCTGCTTGATCGCGAGCTCGTCGCACAGCACTTTCACGCTGTCGACCTTGAAATGGAAATCACCTTGGGGGGAAAAAAACAGAGGAGGAGGAGGATGGGGGATGGGGGAGGGGGGGATGGCGGATGGGAGAGGCGAGGAGGAGCAGGAGGGAGGATAGAGGCAGGAGAGGCAAAGAGGAGTAAGAGGAGACTGAGGGGGACGGTGGAGGAGGAGGAGGAGGGAGGACGAGCGGGAGAAGGAGGAGGAGGAGGGAGACGGCTCAAGGTCGGGATTTTTCTGAAGTGCCCACCCGTCGAGCAATGGATGTTAGTGCCGACGGTCTTCATGCTCCAGCCATCGGGGTGCTTCGCGAACACGCGGACGATCTCTTTCATGAGTTCGGGCAGTCCCCAGACGAGCTCCTTGACCGTGTCAGTGCGGACGACCATGCAGGGGAGCCACCCTTGCGACCTCGACCTGAACCAGTCGGGCAATTCGGCGATGGACCAGTAGAAGCATTCGAG